TGGGTTTGGGAACTTTAATGAATATTATAAAGGTAAGAACTTAAGTACGTTTGTACGAGAACAGTAATTCGCGAATGAACTGTTCATTAAATTATGCATCATTTTCAGCGCCAAAAGAAAAATAAATTTTATTTTTTAGGCCAAACAATTACCTTTAAATAAATGTTTCAAGAAAAGTCTAGCATATAACAAAAATAAAGAGGGAAATGGACTCTTTATTTGGTGGTATGCTCAAATCAAAGGACTCCAATCCCTGCACAAAACCGAAAACAATATAACAGGAATCTGTAAACTGCTAGCTGATTTCTAATCTAAACCAATTACGAAAAAAATATTATGATGATTAAACATGTTAAATTTAATTTTAATTGATTTCGTATTACAAAATTTGTGTTGTTGCGGTCAATCACTGATCAGTTCACTATTTACTTAAAGTCAACAACTGTTACTCTTAGCTTCCTGTGAAGTTGATTACAAGTAAACTAATTTCCCCTTAGTGAACGTAATTATTCTATAAGTAGGTAAGTTCTTTAAAACCGATGAAAAAAGTTTTATTTATGCACTATTCCATTGATTTGAATAATCCTTAAGCAAATGACATCTGAAAAGCATTGTTTTGTTCCCATAAATCGGAAAATAAGCTATCCATCAATAGAATGCGATTTTTCACATGACTGTGGGGAAAAAAAACGACCACATTGAATCTAGATATCCGTCGAAACAGAAGCCACCTAAGCTATACCCTTTCCAGATACTAAAAATATAAATGTTGACAATTTTGGAAAGAGTTGGTCGTCCTATTTGACAAACTGTTTTTACATTTAATTTTTATAATTATGCTAATACCTATTTCTCTTTTTACGCATTTTGCTTATTCTCAGGAAATCAGGCATTGTATGAAGTTGTGAAAGATGGAAGCTTCAAACTTAGAATAGACATGGAAGACAAAACAGGAGAATGGCGATACGCAAAGTATTCACATTTCTCGATAGGTGGTCCCGATACAAACTTCACGTTGAGCGTCTCTGGATATACGGGGAATGCTGGTGAGTTTGCAAGTATGAAGTACACCAGAATGTAATAGTTCTTTTAAAATATGATTTTTTTATCATAATATAATATTCATGCTTATTTTTGCTTGATGACCTAATCTTAATTTTAAAATGATGGTCAATGCACACATGGGAGTGTATGTTTAGGAATACTTGAAAAGAACCTACATTTTTAATAGCACAAACCTGTTATAAAGAAGGTAAACTAAGTACATTCTCAAGTCAAAATTTAGATAATGGGGCAGACTGAAAAAATCTGTAGACAATTCAATGTAAAAATCGACTCAATGAATAGCACAAGAAATGTCAGTCAACATTTGAATAAAAGATTAATTGCATTTACTGGTATCGTACATATTTAATGGGATTATTGACATTCTGGTATTATAAACGTATTTTGCAAAAGCTTGTCATGCTATAGAAATTGGTCGTAGATAGAGCATGCATTTCTTAAGTATCGTTTAAATTGAGAAAAATGAACTCCATATCCCTTCAAAAATGATATATTTCTACAAAAATTAGAAAAGCTGAGTGTAGAAACGGTTTTGTTATGCTGGGTTGCCATGAATGTTTTTTTTTCTGTAAAATATGTAACAAATGTGAGAGACATTTTGGTGTCTTTCATTGCTAGTTCAAAGTTATTTTAAGATGTTTAAAATTTTACAGACTATAGACAACAATTATGACAACCATAATTTATGAAAAATATGAGATAATGTCAGTTGGCCGAGTGGATTTTCCTTATTCATGCTGAAGCATTCCATAATCACCAAGTCCTACCTATGGTGTTTACGTCGTCCAGCATTTCGTTAATACCCTGGCTGTTACAGTGACCTTTTGCATATACATATATAATATATCATTAGGTTGTATTTTGACTAACTTACTTACACGAAATTGTTAGGTTTATGTTGTACTTTTATAAAAAAATTAGACTACAGAGTATTCCGTCTATATATCTGAGTATTCCGTCTACACATATGACTATTAAATAGGGTTCGAGGCAGGTATAAACGACACGAAATGATTTCTGTTCCAAGGCACCTGATCCTGCATTTGGAAATAATAACAGAGATCTTTTTTCTTTTTTCAGCCATTTTCAGATTTGTATAGATTGTAGGTTTGTAACATCGATAAATGATAGTTATCTTTACCTTGAGCTTTTTGAACAATTTTGATCGTATTTGGCATCCATTGTAGGTGACAGCTTGCGTCCTCACAATGGTCAACAGTTTACTACATACGACAGGGATAACGACTTAAATCCAACTGGTAATTGTGCAGAGGTTTTTAGGGGTGCTTGGTGGTATAAAAAGTGCCATGCAAGTAATCTGAATGGCGAATACGGAAATGATTTGTATGGAAAAGGTTTAAACTGGTTTGGATGGCATGGTAACTACTATTCACTGAAATCATCAAAGATGATGGTCAGGATAAAAAGAATGTGATTATAATTTAGGCAGTGTTAATAAAGGAAACAGAACTGCGGTGTTAAAAAGAGAACAAAAATATGAATGTGGAAACGTGGTACTAATATAGACAAATAGAGCTCTTAAAAAGAAAACATGTACGCATAGTACATTGGTACTTACACATAAATAACTGAAACTGATTTACATTTGTGGATAAGCACAGAAGTTTATTTGGATTGTTTACGTATGCCACGTTTAAATGTATTTGAAATTAAGTTTGCTCCAAAGAGAATTAAAATGTACATTCATTAGGAAAATATATTTCACTCAGACATCTTAACTGAATATTCAGATGCTTTAATCGAACGACAGTCAACTAGTCGAATTTAATATTTTTTGAGTTTATGTCAGGTTTTGTGATTTACAGATTGGAATAAAACTTCAATCTTCAAACAAACTTCAAACAAAAGTCCAATCTACCTTCACACCGGTGAAATAATCTTTTTGAGGGATCTTCTCTAGCAATCTGCCACAATTTATTTGGGTTCATCATAGTATGTATTTTACATGTAAAAAACATATCAGGATCTAAATACAGAGGAGAAGGTCATTGATTTTCCTCTGCTGCCCATATTGTTTTAATAATCATTTTTGAACATTCCTAAACTGTATATAATGCTACAATTGTTTTCAAACATATCTAAGAGCTTGTTTTTGCTAACAGTTTGTAACATGTTTTTGGTCGCAAAAAAAATTCAGATACATGAATATGACAAATAAACTTATAAATCTGTTAATGTACATAGGTTTGTTCTTAACTATAGAGTCTACCTAAAAGTAGGTAGGCGAAATTATCAATGCATATCCCTATTTGTGTGTCTGATGAAATTTTATCTACACTTAAGAATACCTTAAAATTCATAAGTATAAGTATAATTACAGTCACTCTTCACAAATTTCTTTTTTTTTTACAGTGCAGTTGACGGGTTACTTTAAGCAGTTTAAATAAATGAATGAGTAGTTTTGATTCTTGCTATTGCATTCCTTCAATGTGACCTATTATTGAATTGGTTAAAAACGTGTCCCATATTATTTTTTTTATTCATGCAACGACCAATCAGAGGCCTAGAAGATCCTTTGATTTAAGATTCCATTTCAATTTTTAATCAGATAAACCAAACATTTTATGTTTACCTCGTGACTTGAGATATCATATTTCGACCCTTTTTAACAAGATATATCTTGAAAATAAGTTTTACCTTTAGTAAAAAAGGCACAAACTTCAATCGCAATATGTTCACAACTTGAAGGGAAATAATACAAACAATTTTCTCATTCAATTAAACAAAAAACAATTTGTAGATAATTTCTACAGCCTAGGATATCTGTTTTCTTAAAGTGTTATGAAGAAAATAATAATAATAATAATAATAAAAGCGAAATACCAGATATTCTGAGTTCATATCATTTTTTCATGGTCAAATCAGTAACTCAGTTTTAGACTTTTTTAAAGAAAAAAATCAAATAAATAAATTTGCAATTAATCCGGCTTTATTTCTGGATGAAATACAAAATTAAAGTTGAGCAAAATGGGTATGGAATCAAATAAGCTACTTTAATTATAAAATAATATATAAGATATCTTTATTGCATGATCTTTTACGGCTTGTTTTCACATTATTATGATAATTTCTTTAATCTTTCATTTTTTTTTTCTAACTGAATGTACATCACATAATGTTAATCACGGATGTTAAGTACACACTAAAACATGACGACCAAAAAGTTTATGCGGGATTATTATGCATTTCTGTAAATTGTCCAGTACTTAACATTATTAATTATATATATACAGTGTATATATATAATTGCAAATTTGGTTTGTATATGGAATATGTACAGATAACGAACGGTTTTCAAGTTCAAAAGTCCATTACACAATATAAAATAGGAGCAGAACAAACACGGACCTCCAAAACATCAGAGGTGGGATCAGGTACCATGGAGGAATGAGTATCCCCTGCCGACATGTCATACAAGTCGAGTACTCTTTGTAATGATCGGGAAATAACGGAAAATTCTGTCGACATTTCAGTGTACGTATATATAATGACGTAACAATTAGTATGAAAAACGTCAGTAAGCATTTCACTTAAAGATAAATATATGTAGTATTTGCTGACAAGGTTATTGCATCGACCATAGAAATTACCAAATTATGACTTTAAACGGGACTGCTGATATTCTTGTTTCAACAACTTGTTTGTCAATAACTAACATTGTTTTAGAAATTGATCATACGTACAACATGCTCTTGTGTATCGACTCAACTAAGAAATATCAACCCCTTAATATGTAGACTACGAGGTTTAATTAAGAAGTAAGAGGTTGACGATTGAAAAGTTAAAGTCGTCTCGTTTGTCATAAAGCTTGGTTGTAAGAATACTATTAATGTCTTTTCTCAAGATGAATAGCTAAATGTGAAACATATACGCCAGACTCTATGGTATCTTAAAAAATATCTTATTATAAGCTTATCAGGATATATCTTATCGCAATAAGAATGAAAATAAGCATTGTTAATTGACAATACGTCGTTGGTATATCTAAATGTCGAGAAGAAGACCACAGCGGAGAAACTCTGCTTCTGATAAATACAAAAATGTGTCTGCTAAGAACGGGGCGCAATTGGTACCCATGGAAATTTCAATAAATTGTTGAAAGACGTGGTCTCTAAAATCTAGATAGATGAAAAATATGGAGATAAAAATAAACAGTTTTCAAGATCAATAGTCCATAAAACAATATAAAATAGGAGCAGAACAAACACAGACCTCCAAAACATAAGAGGTGAGATAGGTGCCATGGAGGAGTGAGCATCCCTTGTCGACCGATCACACCCACCGTGTGCTTCTTGTCATGATCGGGAAATAACAGAAAAATCCATGGTCAATCTTGTGTATAAATAATAGACTAGCAATAAGTATGAAAAACGTCAGTATTTGACTCAACGAAAGAACTTACGAAATTGTGACTTCAAAGGAGACTGCTGATATATATTTTTGTTTCATCTTATTTGTCAAAAATTTAGAAATTGTTCATACGTAGAGCATGCTCTTGCATATCGAATCAACTGAGATATCTAAACTCCGTATGCAGGTGATGAAGGTATATTGCTGCATAAGTAAGGGAAGTTGACGATTGTAAAGTTAAAGTCATCACGTTGAATTATCACAGAGCTTAGTTGTAAGATTACCATTAACGTCGTTTTCAAGTAAAATATGCAAATAGGAAACAGATGTGTCAGACTCTGTGGTATCTTTTATCTTATGAGGTATTGCCAATTTTTCCCGTATGTACTTCATAACTGAAAAAAGTTCATTACTGTTTGTTATCAGTGGAGGATCCAGGAATCTTGAAAAGTTAAGGATGGGGGTCGCCACAGCCACACAAAAAAAATTGGTCTTTTAGATCTTGCTTATATTTTTGACTCAAAAGAGGGGGGGGGGAGTCATTTGACCCCCTCTAAATTCACCAGTGGTTATCTTAACTATTTAAATCATATCATTTTCATAATCATTTTTTAAAATAGTTTTTGTTGTGACTGTCGTTTGCAAAAAGTACAAAATAAAAACCTACACAAGTAGGAAAAGCTTTCAATTTTCATTAACGGTAAATGGAGCTATTATATTTATGCTAATTCCTACCAGACCAGTGGTAAGGTGTGTTCCCGTATTGCACACATTTGAAATTCAGGTTCTTGCACCGTGTGTCAAACCCTGACTACAGTTATATGTACAATATATAGGCATAGTGCATGCAAAGCCAATACTATTATAGTGAGCGCAGCGAAGCGACGCTCGTCACTGCGAGCTCTAACGACAACGCCTGGGCGAAGAGAAAATTCGGACTACTGAACATTCCATTGAATTTTTTCCGCAGTGATTTTTGACCCAAAATGCATCGCTTCGTACACAAAAGCTAGAACAAGTTTTCGCGAGAATAAGACCATAAGTTGAACAAATAATAAATTTGCCTTGATTTAATGAATTTGTTTTCACTTCATTTGAAAAAAAGTCAGTAAATAAAAACAGTTCTTCATTATAATTAGCCCTGTTCAGCCCTGTTCAGGCTTCGGTTTAGTAAAGCAACATACGACGTCCGATATGACGTCAGAGTCTAAGACGCGCCGAATGTTACGTGGGGCTTGACGTGCCCGATTTAAATGAAAACTGGATAAGTATTTGCGCTCGCCCAAACGGTCGCACTGTCAACATATTAGCGAGTGCAGCGAAGCGACGGCACGCTCGTAGCTGCGAGCTGTAACGACAACGCCCGGGCGAAGAGAAAATTCAGACTATTGAACATTCATTCCATATAATTGTTCTCACGAGAATAACAACAAAAGTTAAACCAATTAAAAACTTGTGTCGATTTAATATATATGAATTTATCTGTTTATTGGAGAAAAATAGTCATTAACTGATTGAAACCAGCCCTGTTCAGGCTTCGTTTGGTAAAACAACATACAAACGACGTCATATGACGTCAGAGTCTTATACGCACCGAATGTCACGTGCGGTTTGACGAGTCTGATCTAAATGAAAACTGGATAAGTATAGATCTGTGCTCGCCCTAACGGTCGCACCGTCCACATATTATCAGTTTTTATAATATATATATATATATACAGACCCTGAGACGTGCTACTACCCCACACGCTCGCTGCATAAACGGTACACGAACGCTACACGGTTTGCACGAAACGCTGCACGGTTTACACGAAACGCTACACGGTTTGCACGAAACGCTACACGATTTACACGAAACGCTTTGCACGAAAGGCTGCACGGTTTACACGAAAGGCTGCACGAAACGCTTTGTACACGTTTCTCACACGCTTTGAACACGATTCCCGCACGTTTTGGCCTCGGTTTGGATTTTCTACTCTGAATATCTCGGGCATTATTACGGTTTTATCATTAATTAAAGGGAAATCTTTCACAAAGCCATATTTAGAAGCTGTTTAAATTAAA